TCAGGATTCAGAGAATACAGCAAGCCCATTATTAATTTAAAAAGTTAAAAATAAAGCAAAATGAACAGAAAACAAAAGCAAAGAAAGGAGGGAAAGCTGAGAAACAAGGTGAGAAAAGATGCACTGCAAGCAGAGGATAATTGGATCCAGAATGAGCATACATATTCTTTTTCATTTGGACACTGAACCATCCAGCAATATCCTCCTTTCCATATATTTCTTGCCTTTCTTTAAAATTCTTTATATATTATCAAAGAAATTTTAACAAGATGAAAACAATACAAATATTAGAAAAGAAACAAAATAAGAAAGAATAGTGAATAAGAAAGAAAGAAAATAGAAAAGAAATAGAAAAGAAGAAAGAAAAAAGATTATAAAGCGACTTCCAATTTTTTGATAGCGGTTATAAATGCATTTATATTTTACCCTCTCTAAGGTTACATCATAATTTCCTTCTTTTCATAAACTAACCTTTCTAATCTTCAAACCCATACATCACAAGTTCATTTTTCTCTTTTTTCAGCAAAAGGTCCATAAAGGGTTTCCAGTCACTGATAAATGTAGTTGTTGATCTTTCTCTGATCAAACAAGTTAATTTTGTCATCTCTGCTAGTTCTGCATCTTCACCAACCATTCCTCCGTTGTGGGTATTTCAGAGTCTTTCCATTTTTGTGCATATAATAGTCTTGTCACAGTAATCATCTGTAAGAATAATCTTACATGGCTCTTTTCTAATTGACTGTTCATTAAGTCCAGCAAGAAAGTTCTGGTTTCAGTTGAATGTTGATCTTTAAAATTCTTTATATCATTGTATGTAAGGACTGCCTTTCCCCAATTACATCTACCAGAGCAGGGAGGCGCAGGGTGTGTTGTGGATCCCTTCAATGAGGGAGGTACATCTAGTGGGACCGAGAAAAAGAGCCTTCTCCGTGGTGGCTCCCTCCCTATGGAATATCATTTCCCCAGAGATAAGGCTGGCCCCCACCTTGATACTTTTCCAGAAGGCCCTGAAGACATGGTTTTTGTCAGCAGGCCTGGGGACCCCAGGCTGATATGGAGCTGATCAAATGGTTAATCTGAGTGTGTTTGTTGCCACTGGGATGGGGGTGTGGGGGTTATTGGTTCTTATATTATGGGTTTTAATTCTGTAAACCACCTGGAGTCACTGTGTGTGAGTTGTACAGCCATATACATTTATTTAATAAATATAAATAAATATCTAATTAATTTTTGCAAGCTCCCCTAAGAGTCTTGGCTAATGAGAAGGGCAATTTTTAAAAAAATATGTAACCCACCACCTTCCCCTTCATTATTAATGTAATGGGAGAGTTTTGGAGTGACGGTGTTTCCTGATAATCTGTCTCTAAGTGTGTAAGAAGGAACACTGCTGGTGTTTAATTAACAGAGTGTTTGGATGAGTCTGTGGAAGAAATCACTGTCTTCAAAATCTTTCCATTCCATAAATATAATCTCTTAATAGATGGAACCAGTTAGACAGTTGCTTTCTTAGAGAGCAAGATGACTTAGTGAGCACTGACTCAACAAGTAAGATAGATACTCTTCTCCTCTCTGAGATATTGTAAGTTTTTTTTTTCAATGTCTTCTAAGTAATTAATGATGGTAGCAAGCTTTTCATTTGCTCATAATTAAATTGCAATTTAATGTCAACATTATTCCAAATATGATTTCTGAATACCTTCTTTTTTTTAAGATCACTCTACCTTTGTTTAATTGCAGTAGTCCAGTCTTTCTCTTTTACATGTGCAATTATTTGTACATGAACTTAACTGTGCCTTTGATCCTCTTGCCGTCAGTCACTGAGTAACCAATATTTAGTTGTGTTTAGAATACGTGGTCATAATATGTGGACTACTCTGCCCTGATTCTAGTCACAAATTCTGTCAAAGCTATTTCTGCTTCTCATTTTGATTCTGGGATTATGTTGTGCATTTGCAATATTCAAACTCTATAGTTTTGGGATTAATCATATAGTTTCAGCCTCCCTTTGTGTGCACATTCTAATCTGTATTGTTTTCTTTAGCAGAATATGTAATCCAGTCCGGGGGGGAGAGAGAATGAGACATACAGTACATACATGCAGTGATGGCGACAGGATTAGGGCTGTAGACTGTAATGTGAGAAGGTAATTTATAGATAATAACAAGTACATTTATTTGGTACATACACTGTGTGTGTGTGTGTGTGTAGATACATAGATAGAGATATATAGCCTTCGAGTCAGTTTTTGGCTCCTGGCAACTGCCTGGACTAGTCCCTGCAATTTTCTTGGCAAGGGTTTTTGTTTTTTTGTTTTTTGGCCATTGCCTGGTTCCTACGGCCGAGGGAGAGGGACTGGCCAAGGGTCATCCAGCTGGCTTTGTGCCTAAGGCAAGACTAGAACTCACAGTCTCCCAGTTTCTAGCCTGATGCCTTGACCACTACAGCAAAGTGTGTCTTAGTACATACACCATACTACATACATCATACTAAGCCATAATATGGTTTGCTTTGATTTAATGTATTATTTGAATCCAAGCATTGTGTTCAGATTTACTGTGCTTATCATGTTATATGAATCCAGTGCATCAAGTTTAAGTAATATGGTTAAAACAATATGTGAAGCCAGCCATTCTTTACAGTGGTCGTTCATGAGCTGATGTGATAAGACAGACATCTGGCAGTGGGTAAGTCCATTAACATAGGATGATGTTGGTGACATTATTAGGCACGGTAGGTGCCTAATAGATAGTTGACATCTGGATGTCTTGGAGAGTCTCTGCTATGTCACAAGTTTGTAGCTGTCTTAGGCTGAGCTGCTATCTGAGAAATTGTGAAAGGGAAGAATTACTGGCCAGGATGGGCTACAGCACAGTTATGGTTTGCTTGAACAGTTTTAGGATAGAGCTGTTTGCAATACAGTAATAAACAGTGATCTGCCAGGTTTTTATTATATGTATGTCCTATAATAAATTCTTCATGGGTAACTGTCTGGCTTTGTTCATCTGGTTTTTTAGACTACAATTCCCACCCAAGGAATTTTTTTAATTAGAAGAAAAAGCATCTGCTAGGGCATCAAGTGACAGCTTATTTTCCTCTGAGAGCCTGTTAATATCCCTTTGTAATCAGGGATGGAGGCCTTCATGGGAATGATGATACATTTCTGGTTAGTGTGCCATGGATGGGATAGTAGCTCCCTATCCCAAAATGCCGAAAATGTCCATATCAAATACTTTGGATTCTCTTTGGATTTTATTCTGTTTTTGGCATTGAAAGAACTCTGAAACAGCTAACAGGTATTAAAAATTATAGCCTTTGTAAGATAACTAAGGCACTGATTTCAACTTTTGCTGTTGTGGTACTTTAAACAACAAATGAAAACAACAACAACCAAACCTTAAAGCTTTCAGTGCAGGAATATTGATCACAAAACATGATACACTTGCTTGTTAGAATGTTATCTTGGATAAATAATGTGAATGTGGTCATCTGTGCGATCCTTGCAAATGGCAAAGAGCTGGATATGGAAGCATGGTCAATAGCCAAGTATCTGCTCATTTACCATGGCCTTCAAGAGTGTAGAAAAGAATGCACAGAGACAGAAGGATGCCATTGTGCAGTAGGAATGATGGGGGGGGGGAGGATGATATGCACAATTAGATTCATATAATACACTAGTAAACATCTCTCAAACTTTAATTATTTCAAGTTTTTTGTGGGAAATTCTTGGCTTCTTTTGGGGTTTTCAGGCTTTTGTTCCTAAGTATGTCTGTATGCTGTGAAGTGGGGGAGAGTTCTGAAGGGGAAAAAAGTTACTGGCTTAAAAAAATGCTTTTGTAGCACATATTTCTTCCTTGCAGGCGCCAAAGGGCAGTGTATAAGAGTCGATTTTCCTGTGGGTGTTCAGAAGTGGGCGGGCCGGGCCCTTGTTTATGTTCTGAGTGACTGATGAGCAAAGGGCACGCATGTTTCTGCTGCAACTTGCTGTGGAAAGCAAATTAAAAAAAAAAAAAAATGTCCATGGTAGCAGAGTATGTTTGTTGTTTTTGCATATAATCAACATGGAGAGAATGTAGCAAAAAATAATGCATAATAAAATAATAATGGAGCTGAGAGAGGAGACTTAGGAATCTGAGGTGATGGTGGAGAAAGGAGGGAGTGGGTTTTACATGTACTTTGCAAATGCTAGGGTTGTAGTAAGAGATTTGCTATTTACAGTTTATGTTAAAAGGGGACACTTTTTTCGAGTTGTGTTTAGTAGGAGGTGAACAGTGGAGCAGAAGGGGGGGTTGTGTAAGCAGGATTCTGTGCTATAACTCTTCTGTTTCAAGTAAACAGTCCATTGCACCCTCCCCTCTTCCCTTCCTCCACCCCCTCCTCCCTTTTCCAACATTGCTCATGTGTTTTCTATTTAAGGGCTGCAGCGAGAGGCAAATATGATTGGTGTCCACAGCCCCTCTTTTGCCTTTCTCAAGCCTGTAAAAGCAAAGCAGGAGCTCATTTTATAAGGGGAAGAAATTGCGGACTTGACGTTTTGTTTCGTGTTTTTTACCCCATTTTATCAAAGCAGCCCTGGACTTCCTTTTTCCCCTCTTTTTACTTTGGCTGTGATTGGGATGGATTTTTCTCTCTGAATGGGAACGAGTATGGTGCGGAACCATGTTGGAAAGAGGTTTATTTTCAAACTCCATCCTGCATTTTAGTGTCTGCTTTATACTGTTGTGTTAAACACTTGGGTGTGGGGGTTTTTTGTTTTGTTTTGCTTTTTGCCTTTGTCCCTTCCTCAGTCACTCTCCAGTGTTCCTCTGTTCTACTGAGCTGTGGGCCAGAGGAAACTACTCCTTTATGGCCAGCCGTTTGGGGATACGCTGCGAGCCACGGTTGTGTTCTGATTGGCTTGGCCTTGGTGACAAATCAGCCTATCCTGAGTCGGATGGACAGAGGTCGCTCTTGAGGAGCCATGGCTGGAAGCTGGCTCACAGCTTGCTTTTTCCCTTCCCCAGGTGCTGACGCTAGCTCTGAACCTATGATCCTGGAGCAATATGTGGTGGTATCTAACTATGAGAAACAGGAGAACTCGGAGATCAGCTTGCAGGCTGGCGAAGTGGTGGATGTTATAGAGAAGAATGAAAGTGGTAAGATACTACTTTTTGGAAAAAGATATATTTCTCTTTCTTAAAGGACCTTTTCTTTTCTCCAGAGTCACATCAGTGTTCCTGCATTTCTCTGCATTGCATCTAGTTTTCGCTCTCTCCCGCACCCCTTGATTTGGGCTAGGGGCCAAGCCTTCTATTCTAAGAATGTCTCCACAGCTTTACATTAATTACCCAATGTACTTCAATGAAAAACTTTGGGGATGGGGGGGTGTGAAGAGTCCATAATGTGTGTTCTGTATTTATTAGTGTGATACAGTTGGTCTACTGGAAAAGATGTCACTATTTGCCACTGTTTTAACAATTTATTGTATGGGCTATTTTAAAACAATTCACTCTGGGGATAAAAATTTTGCATGGTAACTCAACCTTTGCTAGTCACAGAGCAGGGGGTGAATGTGGACTATTATAGATTATATGGCCATGAAAGGTTTAAAATACTTTTTTAAACTCTCTGTATTGAGTAATTTTTCTTTAATGTAATTCCTAGTAAAGTAGTTCAATCTGTATGCAAATTAGCAAAGAGCAATTTATCTTCATTAAAGAATTATTTATGTTGGAATGAAATGAAAAAGCAACCTGAGGTACTGTTTAGCAATGATAGGAGTTGCAGGTCAAACATCTGGAGAGCATCAGGTTGGGGAAGACTGATCTTGAATGTTAAATACCATCATTCAAACTGAAACATTTTAACAAGAGACAGGACTGATTAGAGCACAACCTTCTACCCTGTGATGAATAAAATGATCTGATCAAAGTTGTCAGATAAAATAGATAAGACACATAGATACAGATTTGGGGGTTATGTGTGTAGATTTATTTTCCATGTGGCTTTTGTAACCCCAAGGAGTTGGCTCATTTACAAGAGAGACAACCTAAAATCTTTTGGGGGAACTCCAATCATTATTTCTAAGTGGAAATATATTTACACTGTAGATTGAGGGTGCAGTCCTATATTTTTGGGGCTCAGCTTAAGTTTCACTTAAAATTATATCTGCTTTTGAAGAAGTCTGAACAGGATTGTGATATAAGCCACCTAAGAAAATATACATACTCAAAGGTTTGACTCAGCTATCTGTACATGAATGCCAGCAATTCTCAGGAGTTAAATTAGTTAAGTGTCATTTAATTATGGAAATATTACAAAAAGAAATTTTCCACTGAAGTCATTATGGGGTGCTTACTAAACTGTATTTTCACTGATCCAAATAGCTTGTATACTCCTTTGAGAATCCTTTAGTATGGACCAAAAGTTCATGAACCCCTTATTTCTACACTTTTTGATAGACAGAGTGATGATATGATATACAGACACACCGGATAGCCTTTTGTATCTTCTTTTATGGGTTACTGTGAAGAGGCCAAACCAGACTTTCAGTTGAATATATAAGGCTTTCAGGGGTAGAAAAGGAAATAGGAGTATGGCATCTGAGGCTCCCCTTATTCAGTATAGCATGAAATGATACATTCACCTAGAATATTTCTCAACAGAAATTCTAGTCAAGAGTTTGGAATGCTGTGAAATAGAAATAAAACAATTGCTGTGAATTATTCTGGGGAGCTATATTCAAGAATAAAAAATTACTACTTGTGAATCACAAGGATTAGGAAGTTTAGAAGTGATACAGTCCTTAGCAAATGGATTTATAACTTGTGGCTCAAAGGTAGTGGGGGGATACAGAAGCAGAATTTAAGATTGATAAAAAAAAAAAAACTATTCCATTCACAAGAATAGCATATCAGAAGGCTTAGGTGAAAGTGAGATAAGGTTGGTCAATTACAAAAATAAGTATGTAAAATGAAGGGGAGAAGAAAGAGAGAAAAAGAGGGAAGGCATGGAATTCTTTAAATGCACACAGTTAAGGTACTAGCTGAGGGACAGGGAGCCAGCTGAGTGGGTGGGAGAGTAAATTGAAGGAGAATAATGTGATATTCATGGGAAGGACTCCTGATGAAAAGAGCAGATTAAGAAGAAATATATCCAGGAAAACAATGGGCATTCCATTAGAGTGGACATCTGGCAGCCAACTGGGCATTTTCAGAAGCTTCCTTGTCTCTTTCTCTTCTCCCTTCCTGTATTGATTATTTACATTCAGACATAACAAGCATTGGGAGGTCCAGAATTCCAAATAACACAAGCTGAGTTTTGAAGCTTAGCAGTTAAGGACCACACTTTTAAACATGATTTGAGAACAAATAAAATAATGTTACTGAAGAGTGTGGAGTTGGAACTTTGGGTTCCTTTGGTTGGGAAGAACGATTGAATGTTTTTGGTATATTAAGCCTAAACAAAGGCTTACACACCTTTTTTTTTATTGTTGTTTCTTGGAAATTTGCTACCTAAATTGGGCAGCAAGTCCTAGGGGCCATACATATGTGCCTGGCCTCTGCTCTAAAATGAAAGCAGTGGTAATTAGCTACATGATTTCCCATGAAAGTTCCACATGGCATCTCTAGAAAAGATGCAACTTGCTCTGGCTCTTCATTCACAACCTGGTGGCTTTATACTCCTAAGAGCTTACTACTACTGCTGCTAAAACATACAATTACTTGTAAGTTCCTTATGGAAGAGGAGAATAGTCCAAGACCCTTTCTGCACTTAAAAGATTCATAGCTCTTGCCTCAAACTAAAAGAAATTAAATATTATCAAACAATCCTTCAAATATTTATGTTGCATCTTTTACAGTTATGTTGCATCTTTTGCAGAACATTTTTGGGGAGAGTGTATACAAGTTCTGTGCTTTTGCTTAAAAAACAAGGGAAATAAGTTTGGAGTTATTCTGGGTGCTTTTTGTTGCTGTTTTAGAGGTGATAATATACATGTAAGAGATGTATGGCCAGTGAATGGTATTTGTACAATTCTGCTTTGCAGTCTAGTGTATTATTTTTAATTTAAAGCATCTATACTTCACTCTGCAATCAAAGATGCTCCCAGTGCATTGACACCCCTCTCCCCAAAAAATGGGGCCTTGCCCTCAGATTTACAAAATCAAAGACATTATAGGTTAGGAAAGAATTAAGGAGGGAAGATGAGAAATATCTTGAGGATGGTGTTTGCTTTAGTGATAGAAAGATTTCTTTCCAGTTATATGCAAGTTTGAACTCCATTCTCTGCCTGGGCTGGCCTGCTCCTCCTCCTATTTTTAATTTCATTCCATTCTTGAGACTAAACTGAAATTGTTTCTACTTCCCTTGCTTAGGGAAAAAGCTGAAAAGCTCTTCTGGTTGCAATTGGGAAATAGAAGGTCTACTATTAAGACAAGGGAGGTGTCCGTTTACTGAACTGTGTGTTGCTTCTCCTCTCTATTCAGGGCAGTATGGTTCCTCAGAAACTACATCTGGAGGAGAGTTGCAGAGATAAATGAGTGGAGAGCTTTGTGAATAGTATTGGAAAAGCTGCTTCTAATCCTTAAATGTTTTTAAAACAGTTTTTTTCCCACGTAGCTATCTTTTCAGTATACACGATTGAACCTTTTAAAAGAAAAGATGGGGAGAAATCAGTGACTTTGCCAAATTTGTCTTGGATCTACACTGAAATGATCAAATTATGAAATAATTTGTAATAGAAATCCTGACATAAACTTGGTGGGTGGGCCTGAATGGTCTCTTCGGTCTCCAGCTAAGATTTCCTCATGCTGGGATAAGACGAAGAGCACTTTTGGATTGGTAGTTATTTCAATAGCTAAGTCACTATTAAATGTAGCTAAATGTAGTAGCAGTAAACAAATTTATTCTGGCTAACATAGGTTAATCAGCCTTTGAGAGGTTTTTGCCTTCAAATAACTATAGGAAGGAAGGAAGGAAGGAAGGAAGGAAGGAAGGAAGGAAGGAAGGAAGGAAGGAAAAGATTCAGTTTTTTCATCCCTCCCCAGAATCCCCAGTTTTTTTAGAATGTTTTGTAATTGTTTTTTTTTTCATTGTGCTTACTCATTTTTTTGTGTGCGCCTTCGAGTCAGTGTTGATTCCTGGCAACTGCTTGGACAAGTCCCTGCAGTTTTCTTGGTAAGATTTCAGAAGGGTTTTGCCATTGCCTGCTTCCTAGGGCCGAGGGAGAGTGACTGGCCCAAGGTCGCCCAGTTGGCTTGTGCCTAAAGCAGGACTAAAACTCACGGTCTCCTGGTTTCCAGCCTGGTGCCTTAACCACTACACCAAACTGGGTCTGACTCAAGTAAAGTTAATATATTTGTATGCTTTGCTTTATTGCTCAAAAGGTCTACCCATGCCTTTATTTATTTATTTAGGCTACAAACGTTTAACAAGTAGATGTGCTGAGACTAAGCAGAATTCTGTCTCTATTTGTCTCACTGTTGCTAGGCCTGTAGCAGCTTGATAAATTGACTTGTATGCTTATTTCATATGAGCTGTCTCATTTGACCAATATTTACTAATGGAAAAAAAATATGCTACATTTCCAGTGATCCTCTTGTCATGGGTCTCCATAACATTCTGTATGTTCTCATTTATTCTGCCAGGAGCATCTCATTCCTATAAATTAGCTGATGGATAGATATAACTGGCTCCTCACAGCAACGTGGAGAAGGATTTTAATGCAGATTTATTTAATTCTGTATCAATTTTACTATGTATAATTTGTCTTTTGTACCTCTTACGTCCTGTGCATCTACAATGATTACAAAACCTTTACACTGAAGTACTAACATGCCTAAGCTTTTTTCATGCCATCTTTTTAAAAATGTGATTGATATACCTGTGTAATGCACTCTTGGCCTAGCTAAGGCCTCTCACTTGGAGTGTGCAATCCTTGGTGATTTTTCTGCTTTGTTGTGCAAGCTTCATATACAGTTGAAACCTTTTGGTTAGGATGTTAATATTTCAAGCTAATTTTTGGAAAGATTCAGGCCACCTCGGTGTGTTTTCTCTTTCGATTGCTTTTTTCCTGGCAGCAGGGATTTCCAATAGGATAAATTCCATTTGGAACCAGTTGCTAGGTAATAGGGCCTCATCACACATCCTTCCTGCT